TGTTTGTTGTCCCCTACTTTACCTATGGGAGTGTGTCAGATTACAATTGTATCTCCAGGTTACAGTAGGGTCACTCCTTTGTATTTCCTATATAAACTCGATGTATGCATGCTATTATCAATCTCAGTCATTTACATTCTCTCTGATCTGAGTTTCAAACTCTTCCGCTGCAACATTACCCTGCGATCAACCCTGAGCGATCCTTCGCTAAGTCCCACTTGGGATTGTAACATGGTATGAGAGCTACTCAGGGATTCTTCGTAACTTCACTTCCGTGAAATTCGCCGAATCAAGATCTGGCGAGCGGCACACACTTCAAGTCCAAGATGGCCGGAGGATCCGGAGGCCGAGCGAATCTGACGGCCGAAGGACAAACCAACCCGGTTGCGACAAATGAGGCGACAACTACGATCAGCACTGCCGCACTCGAGCTTCGAGTGTTTCGAAAATTAAGACTACTGCCGCGTTTGACCCCAAATGATTTTTACACTTGGAGTTTCAAGCTTGAGCTCCTCCTACAAACAGCGCAGATTTACCATTACTTTGATGGCTCCTACGCAAAACTGGTGGAAGACACCGAGGACGCCAGGTCTCAGATGTTAGAAGACTTGCACTGTGAGATCCCCGATTGATCCTTGGGGGGGTTACAGGCCTGTTAGCCTGGGGGTTTATGCGCCCACTGACCCGCTACTGAAACAAGCCCTTTTATCCCAGTGGTCTAGTGGTTGGGATTCTGACTTGGTATCAGAGGGGTCTCGGGTTCGAATCCCGGTGTATGCACATGCAGGCCGTTGCAGCTGTGCCGAGTCCTGGACCTCCCAGTGTGGGGGGGTGTCAGAAGACTTGCACTGTGAGATCCCCGATTGATCCTTGGGGGGGTTACAGGCCTGTTAGCCTGGGGGGTTATGGGCGCACTGACCCGCTACTGAAACAAGCCCTTTTATCCCAGTGGTCTAGTGGTTGGGATTCTGACATCAGTACTACAGCGAGTCCCTCATGGCGTACAGTGTGCTGTTACGCAACATGACGCATGCGGAACAACTCAGCATTCGCTCCTACAAAGAGAGCGCCGCTCCAGCCTTGGAAGCCTGGAAGCATCTCGTTGAGGTGTATCAGCCGAAGGATTCGGTCACCACCAGCAGGCTCCTGCAGCAACTCATGGAGACCAAGATGGGGCACGGGGAGAAAGCAAACTCATATATTAACCGCTGTCGGAATGTTCGTGACCAAATCACGAAGCATGGAAGTGCCATTTCGGAGGAGATCTTCGTCAATATCGTCCTCCAAGGACTCGGGCCAGAGTGGAAGCCCTGCAAAGCGCTACTCCGACAACGAGGAATTATCTCTGAAGCCGCGCTATGCGCCGCCCTCCTGACTGAACAGCAATATATGGATTCGAGCAGGACAAGCTCCGCGCCGCACCGAGAGCATCTCGCCTTCTACACAGACAACCGTGAAGAGCAACGACAGCCAAGGCGCCACTACTGCAAAATCTGCAAAGTCTTCGGACATTCAACGGACCGATGCAAGTTCCGGTCTAACAATCGCCACCCTAATTCCACTCACCACAACAATTGGGTCGGCCGACAAGACGCTCGTAATTTTCAGCCTCAGCAGCAAGCCTCACGCCCTCCTGCACAACAGCAACAACAAGCACAAGGACCTCAAGCAGGAGCTCCTAGAAACATGATCGCCAACATGGCGACAAGATGTCGCCCACGTGCCGCCGAACCAGATGAGGAAGAAGAACCTCGCGGCGAGCTTATTCAACATGAAGAAGGGTATAACAATCCCCTCACTGAAGATCACTACTACCGGTATGACGAGGACGAGCAAGACTAGCACCAGCCAATACAACTACGGGAGAGTCCACCCCACGACACTCAGCATTACGTTCCCGTGGGATGGAGAGAAGATGAGTTCTTCGAAAGACGATACAAGGCGACTCTGGTGACACCGCGGCTCGCTCTCCTCCTGCGCAATAACAACGTCGACAATCATAACACCTGGTACCTGGACAGTGTCAAACTTATATGCTATAGTCTGTGTAGGCTGTAGTGGGGTAGTTCATATAGGGTACAACACTTTTAGGTTTCCTACTTGTACCCACCTGTTTGCTAGTTCAGTCATTCGTTCCTTCACTATTTTGACATGGTATTCTGAGCAGGTTCCCTCGTGGGAACGTTTTTTTTAGTGCCCACCACGATTTTTTTTTTCCTGCCCTGCCCGAAGCGCGCCTCGCGAATGTCTCACCTGCGCCGTCGCGCGCCCTGTCCTAGTGCCGCCCGTTGCGGCCCTGCCTTCTCTGCCCGTCACGGCCCTGCCCTAACGGCCCGTCGCGGCCCCCTGCCTTCTCGGCCCGTCGCGGCCTTGCCCTGTCGCCGCCTCGTCGCGGCCCCGACCTAGCCGCCTAGTCGCGGCCCTGCCCTGCCGCCACCCGCGGCCCTGCCCTGCCACTCGTCGCGGCCTACCCTAGCCGCCCGTCGCGGCCCTACCCTGCCGCCCCTCGTCGCGGCCCCGACCTTGCCGCCCGCCGCGGCCTCTGCCCTACCGCTGCTTGTCGCGGCCCTGCTCTACCGCCGCCCACCCGCGGCCCTGCCCTGCTGCCGCCCTGTCGCGGCCCTGCTCTACCGCTGACTCGTCGCGGCCCTGCCCTTCAGCCGCCCCAGTCGCGGCCCTGCTCTACTGCCGCCAAGTCGCGGCCCTGCCCTGCTGCCGCCCCAGTCGCGGCCCTGACCTAACCGCCAGCTGCGGCCCTTTCTTGCACTCGCCCCTGGTAAGCACCCGCGCCGCCCGGCCGAGCCGCGCCGCCCAGTCGAGCCGCGCCGCCCAGCCGAGCCGCGCCGCCCAGCCGAGCCGCGCCGCCCTACCGAGCCGCGCCGCCCTGCCGAGCCGCGCCGCCCTACTGAGCCGCACTGCCCTGCCCGCGCTGCTCCTACTGCTACTGCTGTTTCTGCTGCCACTGCTGCTACTGCTGCTACTGCTGCTACTGCCGCTATGGCTAGCCCTAATGTTCTTACCTTTGATGCTGAGGGGCGTGCGGTTGACTTTGACGTGTGGGTTGACGACCTGCAGCTCTTTCTTCAGTGTGACTCTAAGGACGGAGTATCCCTTTTCGATCACACGTCCGGTGTCTCTCCTGCACCTGCTGCCACTGCTGACAGTACGGTTCGCTCGCAGTGGACCACTCGTGACGATGTTGCTTGCCTTGCTGTTCGTAGTCACCTGCCGTCTGCTGAGCGCGCGCACTTTGGCCAGTACAAGACTGCTAAGTCTTTGTATGACGCTGTCGTCGCGCGCTACTCCTCCCCTGCCACTGCTGCCCTCAGCCGCCTCATGCTGCCATACCTGTTCCCTGACCTTGCCGCCTTTGCCACAGTCGCTTACCTCATTACTCACCTCCGCTCTAGTGACGCCCGCTACCGCGCTGCGCTTCCCACTGAGTTATGTGCCAAGAACCCCCCCCCCATGTACATCACCCTTTACTACCTAGTCACCCGTCTCCCTGACTCCCTTGCTTCAGTCTGGGACCACTTTCTCTCCCTTTGCCCCACCGAGCTCACCGTCGACCTGCTAGAGGAGCGCCTCACTGCAGCTGAGAAGAGTATCGTTGCTGTAGGTGCTTCTCGCGGCGACCCTTGCGCCCCTTTCTTTGAGGGGTGTTCCCCTGTCCCCCTTCTCCCCTCTGTTGCTTCTGCTGCTGCTGTCAACCTCGTTGGTACTGAGGAGGTCGGGGTTGCGTCTGCTCCTAGTGGGAGGCGCCGCAACAGCAAGGGCAAGGGGGGCAAGGGTGGTGGAGGCGACGGTGGGGGCGGCGGTGGAGGCGGTGGAGGAGGCGGAGGGGGTGGCGGTGGAGGTGGGGGTGGTGGCGTGAGTGGGGGCTTCGGTGGCGGCGGTGGGGGTGGTGGAGGCAGCGGCAGCGGCGGTGGAGGCAGCGGCAGCGGCGGTGGAGGTGGCGGCGGCGGTGGTGCTGGTCGAGGTGGAGCCGCGCAGCGTGGAGGCTTTCGCGGTAGCCAGCGCCAGCAGCAGCCGCGTTCCCGTGAGACCCTGACGCCCCAGCAGCTGGGCGTGGGAGGTCTGTGGGTGCTGGTCCCTGTACTTACGTTCTTCGCACCGGCGGGCGCCGTGGGGAGACGTGCGAACTGCCCCACACTTCGCAGCGCAGCTTCGGTCGCCTGACTGACGCCTGGCGCGCCCAGTTTCCTGACGGCGCTGAGCTCCCTCGCTGGGGTGATCTGCTTAAACAGAATGTTGCTATCTTTGATCTTGATTTCGATGCTATCCTTGCTGCCATGTATGCTGTGACTGATAGTGCTGAGGGTGACTGTTACCTGTGTGTTCCGCCCGACCCGGGCATTGAGGCTGCTTCTCTAGGTGCTAGTGAGACTGCTGCTCCAGGTACTAGTGAGTCTGCTGCTCCAGGTACTAGTGAGTCTGCTGCTCCAGGTGCTGGTGAGTCTGCTCTGTCTGGTAATGCACCTACTGAGGCTTTGCACACTTTCACACTTGACTCTGGTGCTTCGCGCTCCTTCTTTCGCGACAGCACCACACTCACGCCGCTCAGTCGGCCTGTCGCAGTCTCCCTGGCTGACCCCTCTGGAGGCCCAGTCCTTGCGCACTCTTCCACGGTTCTACCGTGTCCTGCGGCCCCGTCGGGCTTGCTGTCGGGACTCCACCTCCCCTCGTTCTCTACGAACTTGGTGAGTGGAGCTGATCTCCAGGACGTGTGGGTTGACCAGTTCACCCCTGGAGGTCAGCGTGTGACCCACTGCACTTGCTCGCGGACGGGCCGCCACCTGGCCACGTTCACCCGTCGACCTGGGTCGAGCCTGTACACACTGACTACTACGTCTCCTCCGGTTACTGCGTCTGGTCAGGTGTTTGCTGCCGCGTCCAGGTCTAGTCCGGCGTCTGCCCCCTGCTCGTGTCGTCCTCTGTCACACGAGACTCTCCTTTGGCACCACCGCCTTGGTCACCCCTCCCTGCCTCGTCTTCGAGGTATGGCCTCCTGTACCCTTGTCTCTGGTCTCCCCCGGTCCCTCCCTCCCCTTCCTCCGGGGCCGGCCCCTACCTGTGTTCCTTGTGTTGAGGGCCGGCAGCGCGCCACTCCTCACTCCTCCGAGTTCCCTCCGACAGAGGCTCCCCTGCAGACTCTCCACATGGACGTGTGGGGCCCAGCCCGCGTCCGTGGACAGGGTCACGAGCGTTACTTCCTGCTGGTCGTTGACGACTACTCGCGTTACACCACAGTCTTCCCCTTGCGCCGCAAGGGTGAGGTCACTGAGGTGTTGATCGACTGGATCCGCGGTGCCCGTCGCCAGCTCAGCGAGAGTTTCGGCTCGGACCTTCTTGTTCTGCGTCTGCACTCAGACAGGGGTGGTGAGTTTTCCTCCGACCTTCTGAGGGCTTTCTGTCGTGCGGAGGGCATCCGCCAGACGTTCACGCTTCCGGCCTCCCCACAGCAAAATGGGATTGATGAGCGCCGCATTGGCATGGTCATGGACGTCGCTCGTACGTCCATGATCCATGCGGCTGCTCCCCATTTTCTGTGGCCGTTCGCGGTTCAGTACGCTGCGCATCAGATCAACCTTCAGCCTCGTGTCTCCTTGCCGGAGACCACACCTACTCGGCGGTGGACGGGGAAGGTTGGCGATGCGTCTGTGTTCCGTGTCTGGGGATCTCGAGCTTTTGTCCGCGATTCTTCCGCGGACAAGCTGTCCTCCCGTGCTGTTCCCTGCGTCTTCCTTGGCTTCCCCCCTGACACGCCTGGGTGGCAGTTATACCACCCCACCTCGCGTCGTGTTCTGTCCTCTCAGGACGTCACGTTTGACGAGTCGGTATCTTACTACCGTCTCTTTCCCTACCGCACTGCCCCACTCCCCCCCCCGCCGCTCTTCCTAGCACCAGGTGCTCCTCCGGTAGACCCCCTCCCCCCTCAGGGTCCTGCCCCCTCAGGTGTGTCCCAGATAGACCCTGTCGAGCCTGTCGAGGTAGCAGTCGACTCTGGTGTTGCTAGGGGTGCTGAGCCTGCGGGTGCGGGGCCTGGGGGTGCTGAGCCTGGGGTTGCTGAGTCTGAGGGTGCGGAGCCTGGGGGTGCTGAGCCTCAGGGTGCGGAGCCTGGGGGTGCTGAGCCTGGGGGTGCTGAGCCTGAGCGTGCTGAGTCTGGAGGACCTCCGAGTGTCCAGCCACGGCGGGAGCCCCTCTCTCCACAGCAGTTGCGTGAGTGGTACGCTCGGCGCTGTAGCCGTGCTGCTGGAGCTGGGGGGCCTACTACTGGAGGTGCTGCTGGTGCTGGAGCTGCTGGAGCCGCTGGTCCTGGAGGTGCTCGTGCTGGAGGTACTGGCGCTGCTGGAGGTCCTGCTGGTGTTGGAGCTGCTGGAGGTTCTGGCGCTGCTGGAGGTCCTGCTGGTGTTGGAGCTGCTGGAGGTGCTGGCGCTGCTGGAGGTCCTGCTGGTGTTGGAGCTGCTGGAGGTGCTGGCACTGCTGGAGGTCCTGCTGGTGTTGGAGCTCCTGGAGGTGCTGGAGCAGCTGGTCCCGGAGGTGCTCGTACTGGAGGTACTGGAGCTGCTGGGGCTGGTGGTGCTGCAGGAGTTGGAGCTGGAGGAGCTGGAGCTGTTGCTGCCAGAGGTGCTGCTGGAGCTGGAGCTGCTGGAGGTACTGCAGCTGGTTGTGCTGCGGGAGTTGTAGTTGGAGACCCTGGAGCTGAGGGTACTGGTGCTGCCTCTGCTGTTTCTAGAGGCGCTGCGCCGCCACGGCCGTACTACGTTCCGCTCCTTCACGAGGTTCTTGGCCTCCCGCCTTCTACTGGTCCTACTCCTCCCTTACTGAGTCCACCGCCTGTCCAGTCGCAGTTGCAGTTACAGCCCGCCTCTCCACTGCCTGGTCCTTCTCCTTACTCTGGACCGACTAGAGGTCTTACGGAGCGTCGTGAGCCTGAGTCTCGTCCTGCGTCGCCTGAGTCTCGTCCTGGGTCGCCTGTTCGCGTTGTCCGCACTGGTCGTCGTGTTCCGCGTCAGCGTCCTCCTCCTGTCCCCGGCACTCACTATATGACTCTGCGTCCTTCCACTGCTCCACAGCGTGTCCCTCTGCTGTCTCCTCCTGCGTCCTCTCTTCCTGATGGTCCGGACCCGGAGTCTGACTCCCTTCGTGCTGCTAGTCCTACTGTCACGCGTTTCCTGGCCACTGTTGTCAGTGACCCTTCGTTTGAGTCCACTGCTGCGTCTGCTCTAGTTGCTGAGCTTGTTGACTTTGCTGCCGCCTGTCGTCTAGACTACGCTGCTAGCCTTGTTGCTGAGTCTGAGTCAGCGTCTGTCTCTCATCCGTCCGTCGAGGGTGAGTGTGCTCTTGGCACGGACGTCCTTGAGGACAGACAGGAGGAGTTTGAGTGCTTTGCCGCTGCTTTACCTCATCTCGTGTCCATGCTGCTTGCCCCTGAGGGAGACCCGGATGCACCAGACATCCCGACCCCGCACTCTTACGCAGAGGCGATTGAGGGTCCCTACTCCTCTCAGTGGCAGACAGCCATGGACACAGAGATGGCTTCCTGGAAGTCCACAGGCACCTACGTTGACGAGGTTCCCCCGCCTGGGGCGAACATCGTCAGTGGCATGTGGATTTTCAGGGTGAAGCGGCCGCCGGGTTCTCCGCCTGTCTTCAAGGCGCGTTACGTTGCACGAGGCTTCAGTCAGCGACAGGGAGTTGACTTCTTCCATACCTTCTCCCCTACCCCGAAGATGACCACTCTTCGGGTTCTGCTGCACGTCGCCGCTCAGCGTGACTACAAGCTTCACTCTCTTGACTTCAGCACTGCTTTCCTACAGGGCAGCCTGCACGAGGAGACCTGGCTGCGCCGCCCACCTGGCTTCACTGGGTCGTTTCCTGCTGGTACCCAGTGGAGCCTCTGGCGGCCAGTCTACGGTCTCCGCCAGGCACCCCGTGAGTGGCACGACACACTGAGGACTACTCTTGCTGCTCTTGGGTTTGCTCCTTCTACTGCTGACCCGTCGCTGTTTCTACGCACCGACACCACTCTGCCGCCGTTCTATGTTCTCGTGTACGTAGATGACTTGGTCTTTGCTACTGCTAACACTGAGGGACTCGCCCACGTGAAGTCGGAGCTGCAGAAGAGACACACGTGCACAGACCTGGGTGAGCTGACAAGCTATCTTGGCTTGCGGATCACCCGGGACAGAGCACAGCGCACCATTACCTTGACTCAGTCACACATGGTGCAGCAGGTCCTTCAGCGCTTCGGCTTCACGTACTCCTTGCCACAGTCCACTCCTTTGCCTACCGGTCACTCGCTCTCAGCTCCACCTTCGGACGAGTCCGTAGAGCCGAGTGGCCCGTATCCAGAGCTTGTGGGCTGCCTCATGTACCTGATGACCTGCACTCGACCTGACCTTACCTACCCTCTTAGCATTCTAGCACGCTATGTCGCTCCTGGCCGACACAGGAAGGAGCACATGGATGCCGCTAAGAGGGTGTTGCGCTACTTGTGCAGTACGTCGGGCATGGGGCTCGTGCTTGGAGGACGGGCTCGAGTTGTCCTCACTGGTCACGCAGACGCTTCCTGGGCTGACGACTTGGCTACGCAGCGGTCGTCACAGGGTTACACCTTCAGCCTTGGCTCCGGCTCTGTTTCTTGGCGGTCTACCCGCTCGTCTTCTGTTCTCAACTCCAGTTGTGAGGCTGAGATCTACGCAGGGCCATGGCTGCACAGGAGTTACGCTGGCTCACCTACCTGCTGACCGACCTGGGAGAGCCGCCTCGTTCTCCTCCAGTGCTGTACGTCGACAACAAGGCCATGATTACCTTGTGTCAGAAGCACAGACTGGAGCACAGAACGAAGCACATCGCTCTGCGTTACTTCCTTGCTCGAGAGTTGCAGCAGCGTGGTCAGCTTCGTCTTGCTTACGTGGCCACTCGGGCCAACACTGCTGATGTCTTCACCAAGGCGCTTCAGCCTTGTGATCATCAGCGTTTCTGTACTGTTCTAGGCCTTGTGCCTACTTGGCCTCACTTACTTACTTCTTGACTCTGCTTGTACTGTGATCTCTATACATATACCTGCATGCTTGCACTTGCTAGGTTGTGATCACTGTATTGCTTGTTCTCCTTTATATAACTCTGCATGTGAACTGGCCTTGTGGTCATTTGCTTGTGCTCAGACTGCGTGGTGACGTCGTGATCCACCCTGAGCTTGCTTTGCCATTCTTGACCGGTCTTGTGACCTCTTGTTCTCCCCCACTTTGCCTATGGGGGTGTGTCAAACTTATATGCTATAGTCTGTGTAGGCTGTAGTGGGGTAGTTCATATAGGGTACAACACTTTTAGGTTTCCTACTTGTACCCACCTGTTTGCTAGTTCAGTCATTCGTTCCTTCACTATTTTGACAGACAGCTGTTGTGGGCAGCACATGGTGGGGTCCGTCCATTACATCTCGAACATCAGCCGCGCTCCCGCAACCTACGTCATCGTCGCCAACAACGAGCAACTGCGCGCAAATGCGCAAGGCAACGTGGTGTTGCAAGCTCGGGACAGCAATACACACATCACGTTTAATGACGTGCTCTACGTGCCGGATCTCCGCTTCAACTTACTGTCAGCAGGACAACTCAGAGACTGCGGAGTAATGCTCTCTACGGATCCTGACACGGGCGATCTCGTTCTCACCTACACCCCTCCAGACACACCCGCCGAATCGCACAAATACCTGGGCAGAGCCCGATCGCTCAACGGCATTTAGGTGCTCGACTTCGATATCCCCAGCTGCCAGGCATCATCTGACGAGCTCGTGGACCTCGTCCCTCTGGATTTTCCATACATGAGCGTGGAATCATGGCAGCATCCGGACGGACGACCGCGGATACGCCGCAGTCCCCACCCTGAAGAAATTAATCTTCATCAACCCGGTCCTAACGGCATCTGCACCACCTGTTTCACACCCACGGCAAGCCGCACAGACGAAGTTGAGAAAGATCTGACGGCGATTCAAAAGGCGGAGAGTGCCGAGGCGGAACCTACGGGTATGACGGAAATGGAGCTCTCTGTTACTACTCACCGCATCTTCGGCGAAGAAAATGAAAATCTTGGACAACGACGACAAGAGCGCCCAACACCCCGCGCAGAAACCCTCCGCTGGGTCTTAGAAGCAAACATCGGAACCTTCGATGAAGAAGGACGCCCACGTCCTCCTCGCGAAATCTACCGCCACATCGACACGGCGTGGAAAGATCCTGACGCAAAAGAAGAGCTGAGTGTCAAAGAGGAGGAAGACAAGGCAAAGGCAGAGAAGAAGCAGAAACTGTATGAGGAGCGCGTAGCGGCAGGATGGGACGAGGAGTCAGCACGACGTGGCGCATGGGGAGACGACGACTACGTACCACCGAATGGTTCAACATGGGGATCCGCAACTAGCGCATCCGGCACTGTGAGAACTGGTGGATGGGGCGATACAGGAGGATGGGGAGGTAACGAATACGTGGATGCCCCGCTCACCAAAGAAGAAGAAGAGGAGATAGAACGAGAAATGGCTGCAGAACGCGGAGAGCGATCACCCCGCGTCCCTATCCTGCTCGGACGTCGCCCGCGCAACATCCCTTCACCACCCAGCTCACCCTCACGTTGGTCGGATCCCTGGTCGGAGATTGAGGAGGGGAACGTGACACCAACTCCCCCGCGTGACTCACTTGGTCCAATATCCCGCCCAGATCCATTCGCACGCCTTATCGAGGGCACGAGGACTCCGCTCAACATCATTCCCGACCGCGAATTTCTTGCGCTCTACCTCACGACAGCACCTGCAGAAGGGGAGACAGCAACCGGAGCAGAAGCAGAGGAGCCGGACAACGAAGCAGAACCAGGAGAAGAGGAAGAACCTCCACTCCTGATTCCACAAGCAACGGAGGCAGAAGCGGCAGAATATCGTGCCCGCTACATGCGTACTTCCGGAATCCGCGCTGAGGACGATCTCTGGCATCAGCGACTCGGACATCCCTCGCGCCAAACGCTCAACAACTGTCTCCACGCCAAAGTGTTTCCCCCAGGAGCACTGCTGCGCCCCGATGGCACTGAACCCCACAACACCCCACACCCAACCACCTGCACCGTCTGCGCCACAGCTGCCCTCTCTCACAGCGCCTACCCCTC